TCTGAGTAGCTGGGACCTCTGTCGCGGGCTTCCATGCCTGGCTAATTTTTGTAATCTTTTCTTATCTTGTCAGTGCTATGATTGTTTGACAATACAGAATTTCCATTGATTTTGATTATCCTTACATGAGGTTGTTGTTGATTATTTGCCAAAATAGTATATTTTGTGGTACTTTAGCATTTATTTGTATAGAGTAAATATGCTGTAAATATGAAGAGTATATATTGTTTGCTTCATTGATGTGACAGTTATTTTTTATTTTTTTTGCAAACTGTGATGCGCTTTAGGGTCACAGTGGAAAACACTCCTGACTTTAGGCTTACACGTTTGTGCCCTGTCAGTGTTTTGTCATGATATTGAAAATAGGCTTCCACAGAAATGATTTGAAGGACATGTAATCGCCCTTTATTTATTATAGAATCTTACTCCTTTTGTGTTCCTAAACTTTGAAGATCATGTTTGGGAAGTTTAAAATAAGTATTTTTTGTGTCATATTTACATATTTCAGTATAGTTACCATCTGGACTTAATTGGAAACCTATTGGTGTTTATATTTTGTAGATACCTCTTCCAAATGCATGATGAAGGAGGTCTTGTCAACAGGGCAAGGCAATACAGAAGTGTTCCACACAGGGACATTGCAAAGACATGAAAGTCATCGCACTGGAGATTTTTGTTTCCATAAAATTGAGAAAGATATTTATGAGTTTGAGTTTCAGTGGCAAGAAAATGAAAGAAATAGCCATGAAGCACCCATGACAAAAATCAAAAAGTTTACTGGTAGTACATACCAATATGATCAAAGGCATTCTGGAAGCAAACCTATTAAAGACCAGCTTGTATTAAGCTTTTATTCATATCTTCCAGAACTGTATGTATTTCAGACCATGCCCGGCTAATTTTGTATTTTCAGTAGAGACAGGGTTTCTCCATGTTGGTCAGGCTGGTCTCAAACTCTCAACCTCAGGCGATCCGACCGCGTCGGCCTAACAAACTGCTGGTTTATGGTATTTGCTAATTCTAGGATGCAAAGCCGGAATAAGAGCAGTCACCACCTTGCCTAACAAACCTGTGGCTGCACATATCTGTGCTGTCCAATAAAAAAACTTAATTTTAAAAACAAAAAAGGGGGAGTTGTTGGGATTCACTCAGGATGGTGGCAGAAGTATTAAAGGGAAATGTCATGCACGTCCATGTGAAGAGGCCACCAAACAGGCTATGTGTGAGCAACAAGGCTGTTTGTTTCCCCTGGGTGCGGCCAGGCTGAGTCTGAGAAAGGAGTCAGCAAAGGGTGGTGGGATTATAGTTAGTTCTTATAGGTTTGGGATAGGTGGTGGAGTTAAGAGCAATTTTTTGCGGGCCGGGGGTGGATCTCACAAAGTACATTCTCAAGGGCAGGGAGAATATTACAAAGAACCTTCTCAAGGGTGGGGAGGGTGTATCGTACAAAGTATATTCACAAGGGCGGGGGAATATCACGAACTACAATATCGCAAGGGCAGGGAGGGTGTATTGTCACAAAGTCAACTGATCAGTTAGGGTGGAGAAGGAACAAATCACAGTGGTGGAATGTCATCAGTTAACGCAGGAAGTGGTTATTTTCACTTCTTTCGTGGATCTTCAGTTGCTTCAGGCCATCTGGATGTATATGTGCAGGTCACAGGGGATATGATGGCTTAGCTTGGACTCACGACTGACAGGAAATATTAGGGAAAGTTATAGGGAATAGTCACAAACCTTTTGGAAGGCCGAAAGATTACATAGCTTGTAATAATTGAACAGGCTGCAGGCAGCCCGTTCTTACCTTAGAGTATTAGGGGAGGCTGACCAGGGATATTGCACCCTAATGGCATTTACTTCAGACCCCAGTACTTGAGATTTGATCATTCCTAGAACTACTCTCTTAACCATGTTAATTATCCACAAGTGTGTTGACTCAAAGCCTCTGTTGTTAACTGCATACAAAATAAATGCCTGCAGTGTGAGCTGCTCCCAGCTGGCAGCTATGAAAACCTCTCTTGCTGTGCAGGCGGTCGGACACCCAGCAGAACTGGCAAAGCAGACTGTGTGTCAGTGTAGGTTTTATTCATCCGTCGTTTGGCTCAGGGTCTGCGGGCAGCTCCCACCGCCCCCCCGTTTCCCGCCACCCCACCCCCGCTCCCGCCGCCACCACCCCCCTCCCCGGCCCCCGGAGCTAATACCTTCCTGTGAGGAGTAATACCTGAGACCCCCAGGCTCAGCGATCCTTCCAGCGCTGCTTCCTAAGTAGCTGGGACCTCAAGCTCCCATTCCTGCACTCACATCTCTGCTGTGTCTAAGCAGCAGGTGGTGACCTCACTCTTCCCTGGCCTGAGCCCTCCGCTGGGCACCCCAGGCGGTGGCCCTAGGGAAGCCTCTGGAGCTGAGCACAGGGTGGACTCTCACACCCCAGTGAATGGAGAATTGAAAGGGAGAGGATTTCTATTCTGTTCTGTGGGCCGTCAACATGAAATTGTACGTTTCGCTCAGGCAAGGCTTTGCATTTCGCATTCTAGTTTGCATTCCTGCCCTAGACAGCTTCCAGGCTTTGGAATTAAATTGCTAAAATTAATTTCAATAACAAGGAACTTTCCTGGATCCAATTACCGCCACACGGCCACTTCTCAGGGAGGTACTATTTCCCTGACTGCTGAGCTGCTCCAGCCTTACTGGTGGGTTTCACCTGCAAAACCCGGAAAACAGAGGCACGGAGAGCGAGACGGAGGGAAGCTCAGGCCCCGCCCCTTTCCCGCCCCTTTCCCGCCCCTTTCCCGCCCCCGCTGACCCCTCACAGCCCAAGATTCTATTCTCCCGCGCCAGGCCCCCTGACTTTCGCGCCCCGCCCCGGCCTCGCCCAGGCCCCGCCCATCTCTTCGGGAGTCTTGCCCAGGTCCGGCTCCTGTCCTTCGCTGATTGGCTCAGGCCCGGAAGCGGACGGCGAGGACTGAAAGTTGTACTGCGGTGTGTGTGCTTCCCAGTTCTCTGGTGCTGCTATAGGAGGGACGTGGGGTCCCCACAGACCTGCAAATTCCTGCCCGTCTTTCTCAACCCAGAGCAAACTGAAACGTCCCGGTGAGAGTCCCTGAGTCGCTTCCCTTTGAGTTTAAAGTCGCCCGGAGGCTGGTCCCGTCCCCGGTCTTTCTGCAGTGGGGCCGTGCAGACACTTCCTGTCGCGAAAGTTTCCTTTGCAAAATCTTTCCTGACCCTTCTCCCGCCTCGCGCTGTTTCAAGCCCTCACCCGCGAGCTGGATTCTCGCCCTGCTCCAGAGCGCCCCCCAGTCTCGCTCTCCTCGGCCCCTGGAGCGCAGCGCTGCAGCCCCAGTGCCGGGGGTCAGAAAAGCACTCCACAGGGTGGGAGTGGGCCCGAGCGAGCGTCTCCAGGGCACCGTTTACAACGTTTTGGGGGATTAAAATATTCCTTTTGAGGTCCCTATGGGCTACCCCTTATCTGGATGAAGGATCTGGCCCTTGGTCAATGAAATGCTGAGGTGAATTGGCCTGAGGCCGGAGCAGATGGGTGCCCTGTGCAGATGGAGGGGTGGCCGTGCTTGGCCGTGGCCACTCCTGGGCTCTCTCCCTTTCCATCTGAGACGTGGTGGAAATGGAAGGGGTACAGGAGAGTACCCTTTGTTCCTTTGTTACTCCGGGTGGGGAGACGGGGTTTTTACCTTTGGTCTAGTTTTGCAAAGTTTACGTTAATTGGCCTTAGATTCCCAGAGCCAGGACCCAGGTGTTTCCTTTTCTTCTTTGTTATTGGAGATGGTCTCTGTGCCTATATATCCAGTATGGTCCAGCGGGGGCCGTCCAGTCTCAGTGAAATTCTGGATGAGCCCAGGCAGTCTGTAATTTAGAAAATTTACTTAATGGATCCTTTTCAGTACGGTTTAGGCCTCACCAAGTGACTGTCCTTGTGCTGTTGTACAACTTCTGTCCTAGACAATTGAGCTTTCTTACAGGGATGGTGAAGTTTTTTCTTTCCTTAGCTACATAGTACTGTCTAATAATTGAGGACCTAGAAGTTGCTAGCTTGGGCTTTCTGAACTGGAATTGTGTCAGGAACTGGATCAGTGGGCACCAACTCTCGGGCTTCCTAAGGCCATCGGTCTCTGACTGTGGCTCCTCCACATACATAACAAGAAGTAACAGTGAGGGAATGAGCTACATTTTCTGCTAACTGGAGAAACAAGTTCCTTGTCTTTTTTTGGAAGCTCTGGTGCTGGCAGATTTAGCTCATTATAAAAGGCTTGAAACACTGGTTTGGGAGAGCGCATGTGGACCTCCCCTCGGACTAAAATGGCAGCTTGGGGGTTTAGCCTTGTCCTGTTGATCCTCGGGGTTACACGTTCTCTTTTTTTCTAATGGGAGTGTAGGAGATTCGTGCTTATTAGTTCTAGTGGGTTACAGGAGGGGTTGGCTTCTTTTTTTTTTGAAGGTGAACTGGGTCTTTTTTGTCCTTTTTCTAAGTAGCCTAAATAACACATGGCCAATAGGCACAATTTTCACAGACCTCTGCCTCATGACAAACGTGTTTATTTCTACTGTGTAGCTCCTTCCTTAGTTAAGAGATCCACATCTTAATCTGAGCTTGTTACTATTAATGGCTGCACAAGCATCACATTTAAAGTTTCTCATTTGGGGATTCTTTTTTCTTCTGTTCTAGTTATTATTTTACTTGAATCACCTAGGAAAAGACCAGTTCTTAATGTTATTTGAAAAACGGTGGTAGCCAGGCACGGTGGCTCACGCCTGTAATCCCAGCACTTTGGGAGGCTGAGGCGGGCGGATCACGAGTCAGGAGATCAAGACCATCCTGGCTAACACGATGAAACCCTGTCTCTACTAAAAATACAAAAAAATTAGCCGGGCATGGTGGTGGGTGCCTGTAATCCCAGCTACTCTGGAGGGTGAGGCAGGAGAATGGGTGAACCCGGGAGGGGGAGGTTGTAGTGAGCTGAGATCGCACCACTGCACTCCAGCCTGGGTGACAGAGTGAGACTCCGTCTCAAAAAAATAATAATAATAAAAATAAAATAAAACGGTGGTTGCAGGGAGCTTAGATGGGTGATAACATATACTAGGTTGGTCATTTCCTGGGCTACATACCTTGTACTGAGTGGCATTGTACAAATAAGTTCCTTTTAACATTCCTGTACATTCATAATAACTATAGAACAGAAGGATTGTTTTAATTTGCTGTCCTATCTGAGTGACCTGATGAATACACTGGGAACAGTCCTTAGTTTGAGGAAGGTCAGTTGAAGCCTTTACTGTACAAGTCTAAAATTTAAGAAAAATGAGTCCCGTGATGAGCCTCCTCGTGCTCCGGCCGTGTGTAGACCAGTCAGCTTCTGGGTGTGATTGGAGCAGGGCTTGTCGTCTTCTTCAGGGTCACTTTCAGGGGTTATGTGGGCTTGGTCTTGCCTCCCAGGTTTCAGGTGCAGGTTTTACACAGCAGTGGTGGATCCAGGCTGGGATTCCTTCTACCTTCATGGCGGTGGGTGTGGTCAGGATGACAGTCTGGGGTCCTTTCCACTGTAGGTGCAAAGGGGCTACATTCCAGTCCTTGATCCACACTCGATCACCTCGGGAAAAAGAGTGAACTGGGGAGAATAACGGGGCATCTCTCATTTACCTAGGCTGAAATCATTTGTGTAATTTTTCCTAAGGCCTATAGCTATCTCTGTAACTCAATTTCACCTAACTCTCGGGGAGTGCCCGGGAGTCCCTGTAGTATGGGAGGGGGTCTATGATATAATATTTCATAACGGGAATATCCGCTTCTCTCAGAGGGAGGGAGTACATCTTGTCTTCAACAATACCATAGGGAGAGCCTGTATCTGTTTTAATCCTGTTTCCTGACACACTTTCCTTAAGCTATTTTGATAGTCCCATTCATCCGCTTCACCTTTCTGGAACTCTGAGGTTGGTAGGCAGCACGTAGTTTCCATGTGATCTTTAATACCTTTGCCGTCTTCTGTACTGAGTCAGCCACAAACGCCGGCCTGTTATCTGAGCTGATCCATAAGGTCAGTCCAAATCTAGGAATAAGATCTCGAAGAAGCACATGGGTTACTTCATGAGTTTTTCAGTTCATATGGGATAAGCCTCCACCTTCCTAGAGTAGGTACACAAGGGAACGAGTAAATACTTGTTACTTCTACACTTTGGCATTTCTGGGAAGTCCACCTGGAGATCTTCAAAGGGGGCTGCTTTCCATTCCATGCCGGCAGAATGGCTGAACCCTGCCTCGCATGGTGCTGTCAGCAGGTAACACACCGCTCGCCATGGTTTTGGCAAGAGCTGACAAATGCTAGATGTAGAAGTATCAGCCCAACAACTTTTCAAGTGACTCCTGACCTAGATGGGTGGTTTCATGCACCCCCAGTACAACTGCGGCTCCTAGCAGCTGTGGCACAGCTACTCTCCTATTTGGTAGCCGAGTCCTTCCTTCTTCCATCACCTGTCCTCCCTCTGCCTGGAGAAAGCCTTTTTCTTATTTAGAATAAGTAGGTACAAGGTCAGGTGCTTGAGGGAGCAGGGGGGCTGTGACTGATGCCCAGCTTTTCTAGCTTCTGAGTCAGTTCTGGGGTTCCCTAAGGTAACTGAGGTGGAGACTGCCACCTTGTGGGTTTTCTGTACTGCTTCTAATAATTGCAAGATTTTATGTCTTTTTCTCCAGATTTCAACAGGCCCTTTTCTTTATATAATGCTCCATGCACTTGTAGGGTTAAAAAGGCATACTGAGAGTCAGTGTAAATGTTTTCAGTCTTACCTCCACTGAGTTCTAAGGCCTGAATTAAAGCAAAGAGCTCGGCTTTCTGAAGTGCCCTGGGGCAACGCTCTGGCGTCAATGGCAGTGTCCAGGGTTACCACCGCATATCCTGCACATCTGTCTCCTTGTGGGTTGACGAAGCTGCTCCTGTCCATGTATGGCTCCCAGTCTACTGATGCCCAAGGCTGGTGCCGGAGGTCAGGCCTGCTAGAGTAAACTGAGTCCAACACCTCTACACAGTTATGCTCGGCAGAGCTCTCTGATACCAGGAGCAGGGTGGTGGGTTCAGGGTGTTACAAACTTCAGTGGTTATGCAGGGATTTTCACAGAGGTACTTGGTTAGTCTAGCATTCGTTAGCCAATGATGTCCTTTGGTAGTCATTAAAGTCACCACAGCATGGGAGGCCTTTATGTTCAGGTTTTGCCTAAGAGTTAGTTTTTGTGCTTCTTTTGCTAGCAGGGCAGTTGCTGCCAAGGCCCTCAAACAGGGGGACTAACTGTAGAGGACTGCGTGCTCGCAAACGAGATGTTCCCGATAAGCCCTGCTCTTGCAAACAAAGCAGGACATTCCTTCTCTGCAAAGAGGAAGGACAAAGGAGCCAGCTGTAAACAGCGGGCTCTGGGAACTGGTCAATGTTTACTGATCTTGCGAGTCAAGGAAAGGTCAGAGAAGCAACACATGCCCTGTGACTTGGCTACATTCCACAAATGGCTGTATAAAATAAAGCAGAGTGTGCTGTTTGGGGAGGCCGCCATGTATGTCTTGTCCTGTGTTGTCTTGTGTGTTCATTCCTTTGTTTAGGAAACACGCGGACCCCAACAACTGGCGCAGCGAGCAGGGTCCGTGGCTCCAAGAGAGCAAGGAACCGGAGGGGGAGCACCCCGGGTATGTGAGTAAAGAAGGGGGACCCACGGGAAAATTATCGGGAATTCCACCTCTCTGGCCTCAGAATATTTGCGGCTGCTTCAAGGACTGTTGCTGTCTATAGGAGTAGAAGTGAAAGAAAAGACTTTGAAGCGATTGTTTGCCCATGTTGAACAACATTGTTACTGGTTTCAGTATCAGACTAAAGTGCAGCTGAATCGGAGAGAATGGTTACAGGTAGCAAAAGCTTTGCATAGAGCTCACCAGTTAGGGGATACTATGCCTTCAAATTTGTGGACCTTGTGTAATTCCATCACTCAGGCATTAGAGTTACTTGAGACTGATTCAGAGCGTGGTGATGTAGCCACAGGAGGAAAGGCATCTGAGGATATGGGAAAAAATGAATCTGAAATGGAGCCCATTTTTGCCAGGGTAACAGAGGATGGGGGGATAGCAAAAGGGGGAGAAGAGGAAGAGCCAACTCTTCTTTCTTCTAAGAGGAATTCTGACATGCAACGTATTATGGGAATGCTTCAACAGATATTACAGATACATTCTTCTAATTCACCTTTGCGAGCTTTCCCTGTTTCTCTTCCTTCTGCCCCATTAGAAGGGGATTTTCCAGTGCCTCCACCCCCCCTCAGCTTCCTTACCTTTGTCTGGCAAAGTTTTCTCAGTGCCTTTCCCGCCACTGGGGGAGGAAGAAAAGGAAAAAATAAGAGAATTTGAGGAGCTGGATCTGTTTCTAATGATTCATGCTCCTTTTGCTCCTAATGCTCAGTTTCCAAATGGTGGCAATAATGTCCAATTTACTGCCTTACAATTTAAATTTTTAAAAGAAATGAAAGCTGCGATTTCTAACTATGGACCTCAGTCTCCTTTTATCCGTGGTCTTCTTCATGCTTTTTCATCAGAAAATTTGATAATTCCTATAGACCGAGAGACTTTGGGAAAGGCTGTTCTTTTTGTTGTTGTTGTTGGTTTTTTTTGTTTGTTTGTTTTTTTTTGTTTTTTTGAGACGGAGTCTTGCTCAGTCGCCCAGGCTGGAGTGCAGTGGCCGGATCGCAGCTCACTGCAAGCTCCGCCCCCCGGGGTTCACGCCATTCTCCTGCCTGAGCCTCCCGAGTAGCTGGGACTACAGGCGCCTGCCACTACGCCCAGCTAATTTTTCTGTATTTTTAGTAGAGACGGGGTTTCACTGTGTTAGCCAGGATGGTCTCGATCTCCTGACCTCGTGATCCGCCCATCTTGGCCTCCCAAAGTGCTGGGATTACAGGCGTGAGCCACTGCGCCCGGCCAAGGCTGTTCTTGATCACTCTCAGTGGTTACAATTGCACAGCTGGTGGATGGATGAGGCACATGTGCAGGCTAGGAAAAATGCTACACATGATCCCCCAGGACCCACTGAGGAACAACTCATAGGCACGGGCCAATATGCTACTCTTTTTTTTTTTTTTTTTTTTTTTTTTTTTTTTTTTTTTTTTTGAGACGAGTCTTGCTCTGTCACCCAGGCTGGAGTGCAGTGGCCGGATCTCAGCTCACTGCAAGCTCCGCCTCCCAGGTTCACGCCATTCTCCTGCCTCAGCCTACGGAGCAGCTGGGACTACAGGTGCCCGCCACCTCGCCTGGCTAGTTTTTTGTATTTTTTAGTAGAGACGGGGTTTCACCGTGTTAGCCAGGATGGTCTCGATCTCCTGACCTCGTGATCCACCCGTCTCAGCCTCCCAAAGTGCTGGGATTACAGGCTTGAGCCACCGCGCCCGGCCCAATATGCTACTCTTAATGCTCAGGCTGGCCTAGATGATGTCACCCTTACTGAAATCAAGACTTTGTTTTTAAGGGCCTGAAATAAGGTAAAAATAGCAGAAAAATCTTCCCTCTCCTTTGTAAAGATTTTACAGGGCACAAATGAACCACACGCGGATTTTGTAGCCCGTCTTCAGAATGCTGTCTTAAAAATTGTGGGTGTTGGCCCTGCTTCAAAAATTTTGTTACAAACATTGTCTTTTAAAAATGCTAATGCTGACTGTCAAAAATTGTTCAGACCATTAAAGGCCAGTGGGGCCAATTTAGATAAATATATTAGAGCTTGTGCTGGTGTTGGAGGGGCTATTTGTAATGCTCAGTTATTTGCTGGAGCCCTATCTAAAGCCTTAAAAGGAAATAACAAACAACGTGTTTACTTTCAATGTGGTAAACCTGGACATTTCAAAAAAAAAATATTGTAAAAAATTGAACACTTCTATCCCGCAAGGCAGAAAGCTGCCTTCAGAGGTGTGCAAACGTTGTGACAAAGGTCGACATTGGACAAATAAATGTCGTTCCAAAACTGATAAAAGTAAAAATTTACTGTCTCCTCTCCCGGGAAACGGGAGCGGGGCCCACAGACTTGGGGCCCCAACAATTACAATACAAGCCTACCACAATACCCAGTGAACAATGGCCTACAACATCAAGGAATAAATTCGAGTCCTCCTTAAGGATACCACACCTTACCCCAGTTTCCCAGCTTTATACGGCAACTAAGCAGAGCGTCACTGCTAACTTAACTATTACTCAGCCTTATACCTTGTCTCCTAATGGAGGAGTATATAAATTAGCTACTGGAGCATGTGGCCCTTTGCCAAAAGGACATGTAGGACTTTTGTTAGGTCGAAGCAGCAGTGCTATATGGGGGTTAATGGTGATTCCCAAAATCATTGATCCTAATTTTACTAATGAAATTCTTGTTATGGTACAAATCTCACAATTTATGTGCCTAGAGGCAGGGGAGCATACTGCACAATTACTTTTATTGCCTTTTTTTTCCCGTTCCTATCTAGAGAGGTATCTCGACAGGGAGGGTTCGGTAGCACAGTAAAAACTGTTTTTTGGAAAACTTTAGTTTCTAATCAAAAGCCTTTATGTTCATTGCACATTAATAAAATAGTTTTTAAAGGGTTAATTGACACGGGGGGGGATGTGTCTATCATTTGTTTAAATCAGTTGCCTATACAATAAAAAAAAAAAGACAAGTTTCAGTTACACTCACTGGCTTGGGTCCTACTTCTGTGGTTTATCAAAGCGTAAAACCTTTAACCTGTCAACAAGGTCAAGTGTTTTTTTTATATTGTTCCTATCAATATTAATCTTTGGGGATGGGATCTTTTACAACAATTTGGTGCTTTTTTAAGCATTCCTCATATTTCTTCAGCTGCCAAAAATATGATGTTCAAAATGGGCTACAATCCTTTAAACTCATAGCCACTGTTCACCAGCCTCAAACTTTGCAATTAAAGTGGAAAACTACCACTCCTGTTTGGGTGGAACAGTGGCCATTATCTAAAGAAAAACTTGGGGCTTTAAAAAAGTTAGTCAAAAAACAATTGGCCGAGGGGCATATAAAGCCAAGTACTTCTGCATGGAATTCCCCTATCTTTGTTGAAAAAAAAAGTGAAAAATGGCATTTATTAACTGATCTTAAAACTGTAAATGCTTACATTCAACCTATGGAGAGTTTACAGCCTGGTCTTACTAATCCTGCCTGTATCCCACAAAGTTGGAAATAAATGGTCATAGATCTCAAAAATTGTTTTTTCTCTATTCCATTACACCCTTAAGATTGTAAAAAGTTTGCCTTTACTATTCCTAAATATAATAATGGGCAGCCCACACAAAGATATCAGTGAAAGGTTCTTCCCCAGGGTATGCTTAATAGCCCTACTTTATGTCAAAAATTCGTACATACGACTTTAAATCCTGTGAAAAATCAGTTTCCAACTGTGTTAATTTATCATTATACAGATAATATTTTATTGGCTACCCCTGATGTAACCCTCCAAAATCAAGTTTTTAAGGTTTTACAACAGTTAATTCATTATAATTTGCAAATATCTCCTAAAAAGTTACAAACTCAGTTCCCCATTCAATATTTGGGGTATCTATTGGCTAAAAAACAAATTCACCCACAAAAGGTTCAAATTACGAGTGATCAACTTGTGACCCTTAATAATTTTCAAAAATTGTTGGGAGATATTAATTGGCTTCATCCCATCTTAGGTATTCCTACTTATAAATTACAACATTTGTTTGCTACCTTAAAAGAAAATTCAAATTTAAACCGTTCTCGACAACTATCCCATGCTACAAAAGAAAAACTGTCTTTTGTAAAAAATAAAATTAGTAAAGCTCACCTTAATTATATTATTAAGTGTATTATTATTATATTACCTTAATTATTATTATTAAGTGTATTATTATTATATTACCTTAATTATTATATCACCTTAATTATATTATTAAGTGTATTATTAATAATAATATATTATTAATTATATTATTAAGTATATTAAGTATATAATTAATTGTTATGTATAATTATATACCCGATCTTCCACTCTCTTTATGTCTTTTTCATACTCCTCATTCACCAACAGCTATCTTACATCAGGATAATAACATTCTGGAGTGACTATTTTTGGCTAATAAAGCCGTTAAAAAAATTTACCCTTATATTGATAAATTGACTAAATTAATTATTAAAGGGCAGCATAAAGCTCATCAATTGCTTAAAACTGACCCTATAAAAATTATTACCCAATTATCTAATCAATACATTAAATCTTTACTAAAAACTCATAAAAGATGGCAAGTGGCTTGCGCTGAGTATACTGGTTCCTTTTCTCAGTACTATCCCAGTCATAGATTATTTACTTTTCTACAACAATATTCTTTCCTGCCCTATAATCCTATTTCTTATACTCCGGTTAAAGGTCCCACCTTTTTTACTAATACTTCTAACAATAAAAAAGCTAGATACTGGACATCAGATAATTCAAAAATTTCTCACTATCCATTTAAATCTGTACAATAAAAAAAAAAACAAAAACTTTTTGCCATTCTTATGGTACTACAAAATTGGCCTCAAACCCCGTGTAATATAGTTAGTGATTCCCAATATACTGTATATGTGACTAAGTATATTTCTCAAACTTCTTTACCATTACTCCTAAAAACCCCTTTACAAAAACTATTTTCCTTAT